GGGGGACCTGTGTCTTGAGCACCCAGAGCGTCCCTGCACATGGTCTGCCCGACCCTGCGACGGGACGTGCTAGGGAGCAGGGGCACATCAGCTGGCACGAGCTGAGGGCCTGGGGTGGCCCCTGCGCTTCTGCCCTCCCGGTGGTTCCAAGAGGCTGCAGCAGCTCCCAGCATCGCGGCAGAAGGTGGAAGGTGTGTTCTCTCCTCGTGCTGCTGCTGCTTTTAGTCGAAGAAGGAGGAGGTGACCCCCGGAGCTCCCAACAGACCTGCACTTCCTTCTCGTGGGCCGTGTGGGTCACATTCCCCCCACCCCGGCCGTCACCAGGCGACTGTCTTACACTCCGCACCCCAGGAGTGAGGTCACCCCCTGAGAGCCTGCTGCCTGGAGCCGACTGTCTTGGGGTCTCCTGGCAGGAGAGCTGGGAGGGGCTACAGCCATCTCAGGGTACGTGTGGGGAGCTGGGCCGCGGGGCCCAGCCTGCAGGCCAGAGGTCAGCTGGATTGGCACAGGTCCATGGTGCTTTGGTTCACCTTACGAAAGATTTAGTTGAGAGGAAAAGATTGAAATTACTAATGTAGTGTAGTTGCTTAATTATCTGTGAAGTTTCTTTGTGCTCTCCTTGTGTCCTGAATATTTGAGCATGAATAATTACCTATGTGATATTCTTGCTTTGTGTAAGAATACTTTTTTTAATAAACCTGGAAAACAAGCCAGGTGCAGGGGCTCACACCTGTCATCCCAGCACTCTGGGAGGCAGAGGTGAGAGGATCGCTTGAGCTCAGGAGTTTGAGACCAGGCAGAGCAAGAGTGAGACCCCGTCTCTACTAAAAATAGAAAAAATTAGCCGGGCATGGTGGCACATACCTGTAGTCCCAGCTACTCAGGAGGCTGAGGCAGGAGGATTGCTTGAGCCCAGGAGTTTGAGGTTGCTGTGAGATAGGCTGACGCCATGGCACTCACTGTAGCCCAGGCAAAAGAGTGAGACTCTGTCTCAAAAAAAAATTAAAACCTGGAAAACAGAATTTGTGAGCAAGGTGAGAACGTAAGAGGATGAGCTCTCTGGTTAGGTTAACATCCCGGGTGAAGCACAGCGTGGGGATCCCTCCCAGACAAGCAGTCTGCGAGCTCCGTTCTAGAAACTGAGATAACTTTCCTCTGCTTTTCTTTTTTTACATACTCAGTGCATCGTTAGTGGCAGAGTGTCAGTACTACACAGTCATGAACAGAGTTAAAAATAATAGTGAAATGACACTGAGATACTCAACAACTTGGTGGCATCTACATTGATGACCTGAAGAGCTGCCGCAGAGCGTGGCGTTCCCTGGAGACGCAGGCGGTTTTGCTGGACTGCAGCTTCTTCTTGGTTTTGAGATGGGACCAGAGCCCCGCCTCTGCCCTGCTGTGTCCACACCCGATCCTTTGCCAACCTGTCCAAGCCCCAGAGTAACCCCGTCCCAGGGGAGGCCTGGACGGCTGCCTGGGGTTGGGGTTGCCCCAGCACCCCACATGCAGCTCCTGGGAGGGTCCACCTCTGAACCAGGCCTCCTGTCTCACTGTGTTTTTGTGACAGCCTCAGATGGGTCCCCTGCACAGCCTGGCGGGTCCCAGCCTCCAACCCCCACAGGGCTCCACCTGCCCCCACCCACCCCCCACCCCCATGCCTGCCCATCTCCCACCCAGCTTCCTCCCTCCTTGCACTGGCCCCCAGGCCAGGCCCTTTTTCCTACTTATCTTGATTTTGTCTGCTTCAAGAATGTCCCTGAGGGAGGGGCACTCCCAGAGAGCTAGGATTACAGGCGTGAGCCACTGCACCTGGCCAACCTGGAGATTTTAATGGCATAAAATTTTCATGTCGTGAGATTTTTTCAAGTATTTTAAAAATGTAAACAATTCTTCTTAGATTACGGGCTGTACAAAACAAGGTAACGCGCTGGACTTAGCCTGTGTGCTGTTGTGTGCTGACGTCTGCCTTAGGGAAACTTCTAAATACGTGTGTCAGAAGAAATCTTTGCCAAGCCGTCACGCAGATGCGCCTGTTATCCATTATATGACACACGTATGCTGTAATCTGGACCTCTGCTTCCTTCTAGTATATCAAATACTTTATTAAGCTTTATAATATGAGCTTTCAAACTACAAAACTATCATGTGCTCATTACAGCTCATGAAATAACTCTTCAAACTCGAGAAAAGAAGACTGTACGGGGTCCCTTTTTTGGTTCCTCTTTATTTCTAATAGTAAATGGTGCCATATAGAAGAAATAGGAGGAAAATACAGAAAAGAACTCCTACAAATCGATAAGCAAAGGACAGATAACCAAGAGAAAAGCAGGAAAGGGCAGGATCAGGAGCTGCAGGGAGGAGTTTCAAGAGGTCACTGAGTGTGAACCAGAGCCCTCGGTCCCACGCGCCCGGGGAGGGACACGTGAAGGGCGAGGATGTGCACGTGCTACGCGGGTGGAAATCAAAGCGTTAACTGAACGTGGCCAGGCGCAGCTCGGTGGCAGTGGTCGTGGGCGCGCCTGCGCGGGGCTGGAGGGGCTGGTGCCAGGGCCCTGCCCGCGGCCGCTGCTCACGGCTCTGCACGAGTCCAGCTGCCCAAGGTTCTTCCTGCTTTTTCCTGTGTTTCCTTTCACGCCCCTCAAGCGATGCCCCTTAATGCTCCCTTTTGGCTGCTTTTTCTCAGTCTTCCCTGCAGGGCAGGGTGGAATCGAGCGTTGAGACGCAGGGTGGGCAGATTGGCACCAGCTACGGGACCGACGATGGGGCCCAGCCCCAGGAGTGCCAGGGAGCTGCCCCCGGCCAGGCCGAGCCAGGCTGCCCGGACCCTGCAGAGGAGGCTGCTCCTGCGGTCAGGTGCGCGGTGTTGGCACCTGCTGTCTCCTAGAAGGATGTGAGAGGAACTTAGATTGACTTCAGGAAGCCTGTCAGATTTGTCCTGGCTAGTGAAAGCAAGCATGTCCCTTCCTTTTGGCCTGCCACCAAATGGAGTGAGTCCCTAATACCAGAAATTTGGGGAAGGCATTTCTTCCTAATCTTGTGGGAAAGCTCGTTGGCGTACACCATCAATGACACGTGAACACTTGAATTCCTTTTATTTAAATTTCCGCAACAGGATACGAACAATGCTAAGAAAGAATGTTTTTCTGAATACCTGGTAAAGAGCCGACCCCACTCAACACAGAGAGTCAGCAGAAACGGTATTCCACGATGCCCTGAGGCAGGAGTGGCCGCGCCCATTCAGGTACAGATGGGCCGTTGGGTGGCCAGGCAGTTGGTACTGGGTGAAGCTGGGAACGGGGAACCTGAGCACTCTGGCTTCTTAGGAGATGGCCTTGGCCAGGTGCAGTGGCTCACGCTGTGATCCCAGCACTCTGGGAGGCCGAGGCGGGTGGATCGTTGAGCTCAGGAGTTCGAGACCAACCTGCGCAAGAACGAGACCTTGTCTCTACTAAGAGTAGAAAAAATTAGCCAGGTGTGGTGGCGCACACACCTGTAATCCTAGCACTCTAGGAGGCCAAGATGGGAGGACGGCTTGAGCCCAGGAGTTTGAGGTTGCCTGAGTTAAGCTGAAGCCACGGCACTCTAGCCTGGTGACAGAGCGAGAAGACTCTGGCTCAAAAAAAAAAAAAAGAAGATGGGCCGGGCGCGGTGGCTCACGCCTGTAATCCTAGCACTCTGGGAGGCCGAGGCGGGTGGATCGTTTTAGCTCAGGTGTTCGAGACCAGCCTGAGCAAGAGCGAGACCCCGTCTCTATTAAAAAAATAGAAAGAAATTAGCTGGACAACTAAAAATATATATACATTTAAAAAATTAGCCAGGCATGGTAGTGCATGCCTGTAGTCCCAGCTACTAGGGAGGCTGAGGCAGGAGGATCGCTTGAGCCCAGGAGTTTGAGGTTGCTGTGAGCTAGGATGACGCCACGGCACTCTAGCCCAGGCAACAGAGTGAGACTCTGTCTCGGAAAAAAAAAAAAAAAAAAGAAGAAGAAGATGGCCTTGCTCCGAGCGTTTGCCACTGACCTGTCACTGCAGGCTTCATCTCGAGTGACGAGTGGGCCCAGCAAGGATGACAGGTCGGTGGAAGGACGCTGGGACACCTGAAGCGCACGCGGCCCCCAGTGGCCTTCCTCTCCATGCAGCTGGAGCCACGGCCCTTTTGGGCCCGTGCCGTTCTTTTCATCCACACTCTGTCGTGACTGGGCAGCTGTTGTCCCAGACCTATTTTGTCCTTTATTTTTTATTATTAGTTTTTTCATCAAGCTGCTTTAGTTCTATAATTGTTGCATCCTTTAAATGTTCAGAGGAGCCCTGAGATTTAGGCACTGCCCATACCCCGTGTTCCTAGAGCCCAGACGGCTCTCCTGGATGTGCTCCCACCCCTGGTAGCTGCTCCCAGGGGTCCCGGCGGTGTCCCCTCTCAGGCCATGCCCCATCTTCTCACCGATCCAAGAGGGAGCGGATGGGGAGCCCTGCTGTTTCCCTGGGGTGGAGAGAGGGCAGCTTCCAAGGACGATTATGCCTTTTCTCACGTTTGTAGAAGCAACACAGAATCACCACGGTGACCTGCAAATCAGCTCACCAGAAAGAAAACAGGTCCCCAAAGCCAAAGCCACCCCAGGCTCAAGAATTCCCTGAGGAAAATGGCTGCCACACCCAGAGGTCATCTTCACTTGCCAGCAGTTCCCTGCAGGACACATGGAAGCTGCTAGACCTGGGGTCTAGCCCTTCTGGCCTCACCTCTCAGGACGACTCGTCTCCAGGTAGGAGGTGGTGGTGTGGGCCTGGCGCAGCGACTCCCGGGTGATGCAGAATCTCAGCGCCTGCCTCCCCTCTGTGCAGCGAAAATCCTGTGCTGTGGTTTAATAGCGTATGGACCCCAGAGTCTCCCCACCTCCCACTGGCGCCCGAGCACTCCCCTCTCTAAGCAGGGCAAAGCCCTGACTGCCGGCGCGGGCGGCTCCTAGCACAGCACCTCGCAGAGGCGCCTCGTGGCTCTCCTGGGATGGGATCCGAGTGCCGCGTGGGCCATCCTGTTGCTGCAGAAGAGACGGGCAGCTCTGTGAGTTTCGCTCCGTGAAGACCACGTCCTGTTCCTGCCTTGCAGGCCCTCCCCAGGGCTCGCTCTCTGTCTCCTAAACCGCACGCCCCAAACACAGTACTGGTTGTCACGAAGTTTTTAGGGAAATCTGTTTGAGTGGCCCCCTTTGGGGAACTGCGCGAGGCCACTGCGTAGCAAGAGTAGAGGCAGGAAAATGCACTTCCAGACGGGCAGTGACGCGTCCACGTGAGATGCGACTGCAGGATTGAGCCGGGGTCTGTCCTGTGCCGGCCCGTGGGGAGCATCCTGTCCCAGGCAAACAGCACGGGTGCCTGGCGTGGAGTGGACCCTCTTTCACCAAACACTTTCCCCTCGAGGGCCTCCGAGGTCATCCCCAATCCTTTGCTGTTACAGCAAGTGTTACAGCAAGTGGTCCCGAGGACAAACCGAGTGGCACACGGAGAGTCGGAGAATCAAAGTTTATTCGCCGGCAGGCTCAGAGGGGCCTCGCCACCAAATTCGGAGCCCTGTCTACCCGATTTTTCCCACTTTTATTAGGTTGTGGTGGTCTGGGGGGTAGGGTGTCAGGTGGTTAATGCCTGCCAGATAATAGGTTAGCTGATGTGTCAGGTAATAGGTTAATACTGTGCTGATGCGCCAGGTAATAGGTTTAGGGTTTTGCTGATGTGCCAGGTAATAGAGTGTTGATGGGCCAGGTGACAGGTTAGTATTACGCTGATGAAGGTCTTCGTCTCAGGTAGGGTCTCAGGTGGCTGACGTGCCAAGTAATGCATGGCACATTGCCACCTTATCGTTGCCACCACGGACAAGGCTACTGTGAATGCCTGGGCTCGTGCGGTAGCGCAGGGGTGGAAACACGGTGTAAGTGCCAAGGCGCTGCTTCGTCAAAAGGTGTCTACGTTTCTCCTTTTGGTGGCTGCTGTCACGTTGGCTCTGCTGGGACTGCGCGAGCTCCCGCTCCCACCCGCGGCATTTGAGGGTGCTGCTCACCCCAGACCTGCGCACTGTGGCCAGACTAACCTTGTCCAGTCTGATGTTTGTTGTTTCAAGTAGCATTTCTGTTAGGAGGTTGTGCATCTTTTCCTACGTTCGTGGCCTTGGTTTTGATCTTTTCTAGGTTTTGAGACATACTTAGGCCACCCCAAGCTTATTTCCCCATTTCTTCTGATTCAGCTCAGGTTTTGCTTTCTCGTGTTGGCTCCATGGCCCATTTGGGATTCATCGTGGGAGGTGTCATGAGGTAGGAACCAGACTCCATTTTGGATGGCCGTCGAGGTGTCCCAAGAGCAGTCACTGAATAGCCTGTGTTTCCCCACTTGTTTGAAATCCCATGTCCACTGCCGAGCTGCACGTTCTGCGTGTGTCGGGTCTGCGTCTGGGCGTTTGTGCTTCTCCGTCGACGCTCGTCCTGTTTGTCCCTGGGAAGAGGGACGGGTCCTCAGAGGGCAAGGAGGAAACACATTTCCCCTGTGCAAAACAGCCTCCGCCCTTCACCTCACCCCATGAGCACCCTTGGGCCCTGCGACGCCAGCACACGAGCGGGTGCCCGGCTGGCACTTGCTGACCAGCCTGATCCAGACTCTGCGTCCAGGGCCTCGTCGGTGCTGTCCTCGCTCCCAGCCCTCCTGGTGTCTGGCGGACCGAGGGTCTCCTCTTACACCTCTTTCTCGTAATTTCATCGGTTATTTTCATTTATTTTTCTTTCTGTATAATCTTTAGACTCAGCTTGTCTAAGCCTGGTTCCCCTCGCGCTGCCCCAAGCCCTGTCCTTGCTTTCTCAGGATTTGTTAAACTTCATCCTGATGTAGGGAGGAGTGACGTGACGAGGGTGTGTTTTCCGTTCCCGGTGTGCTCCGGGTTCGCCTCACCTCTGTGTGGTATTTGTTTGGTCTTCTCCTTCTTCCCGAGTTTGGCTGGCTGAAGCTGGCCAGCTCTGTGCTCCCAACACCCCGTGTCCCGCCCTGAGCTCCTGCCACCTGCCCCCTCGTCCCTCTCCACGCTCCTGCCACCCCCAGCACGTCCCGCCCTGTGCTCCTGCCACCCACCCCGCCACGTCCCGCTCTGGGACTGCCGTCAGCACAGCAAAAGCCCGAAGATGGTGTCTTTAATGTGCAGAGAGAAAACAGCTGTCAACCTAGAATCCCACAGCTGGAGGAATGATCTTTCACTAAGGAGGGCAAAAAAGACTTTTCAGACAATAAAAACTGAGGAACTTTGCCTCTAGCTGTCTCTCACTAGACACAGTTCAAAGCAGGGGTCAGCAAACTGTTTTGTAAAGGGCCAAACAACAAAGTGTTTGGCCTGGTGACCACACGGCCCCCTTGGCGGCCCCTTGGTGGCCGCTTTTCTCTGCGTCTAGCGGAGCAGCAGGGCAGTGGGCGAGGAAGCTGGGTACATGAGTGTTAGTTTCCTACTCTTTAAATTGCTTTGTTTTTTGTTTTTTTGTTTTTTTGTTTTTTTTGAGACAGAGTCTCACTCTTTTTGCCTGGGCTAGAGTGAGTGCCGTGGTGTCAGCCTAGCTCACAGCAACCTCACACTCCTGGGCTCGAGTGATCCTTCTGCCTCAGCCTCCCGAGTAGCTGGGACTATAGGCATGTGCCACCATGCCCGGCTAATTTTTTCTATATGTTTTTAGTTGTCCGATTAATTTATTTCTTTCTATTTTTAGTAGAGACGGGGTCTCGCTCTTGCTCAGGCTGGTCTCGAACTCCTGAGCTCAAACAGTCCGCCCGCCTCGGCCTCCCAGAGAGCTAGGATTACAGGCGTGAGCCACCGCGCCCGGCCCCAATTGCTTTGTTTTTTATTATTTGTCAAACTGTTCTATGTGCTTGTGTAGTTTGGGTATTGCGGGGTGAGGGCAAACTCTCCCCTTTCCCCCATTTGCTGAAAGGTCAACTCACAATCACGGTGGATTAGTAGGGGAGGCTTATCCATCCTGCGCCCCGGGGGAATCAGTGATCACCGCGTCCCCGCGCAGTTCCGTGTTTTTGTACCTGTCTCTGTCGGGGAGGGGAGATGAGGAGTGCGGAAGTTCTGCTTGAGGGGACAGATGAATGTATGGGGAGCAGATTGGCCCTTGGACGATTCTCTGTGCAAACTGAATTTTCCTGAGGAACAGGTATTATATTTAAATGACTTGGGCCAGGCCTGGTTGCATCCTTGGTGTGTTTTTTCCTGCAATGCACTGAGATAACAGGGGAGGAAGGGAAGCCCATTGTTTTTTTTTCCAAGGGCCTGTTAATCTCTCAGGGCCTAGTTCAGAATACCGAGGAGTCATATTTTGGGGTGAAATTTCCTGGGCTCCTTCGGTGTATTTTGTAACAAAAAGTTTTGAAGAGGGAGGGCGTGGGCAACTGCACGGGATGCTGTGGGGGTCCAGGAAGCTCAGGACAGAGAAGCAACCCTTGCTTTCTGCAAGGTGCAGGTCACTGCAGGTCTTCAGTGTGGGCTCGGTGGAGTGGCAGGATTGTCACCCAAGCTTCCTGGCTGCAGAGGCTTGAGGAGCGGCTGGGATGGACAACTCAGGGACCTTGGCTCTGAGAAGCGGCAGTTAAGAGAGGCCGTACTTGAGGAGGAGGTGTGGGGAGCGGGTCAGCTGTTGACAGGCAGGTGGGGACCCCGGGCCATGGCATGATTCCGGAGGGGAGGCGGGCAGTCTGAGGGGAGAAGCCCGGAGCAGGCTGGAGTTGGTGTTTGGCGCCCGTGGGCGGGGCTGCCCTCGGGCAGGACAGGCAGGCAGGTGGACGGTGGCGGGAGCTGCACTCGTCCAGCCTGCAGGCTGAGGACGCCCAGGTCAGAGACGAAGGCCTCGGTGGTCGCACACCGCAGGTGGCGGGAGGTGTGGGCAGCCCCACGAGGAACGCAGGAACCCGGTAGGTCTGGTGGGGGAAACGGGTTCTTCCTTTGAGTGTAATGCACGGCCTCGGGCTCTGAGCGAGGAGGGAAGGAGGGAGAGGTGTGGGAGGCTGGCAGAGAGCCGGTTTGTGAAATGGCCCATTGGCGAGTCGGGAAGCAGACCCAGTAGGGAGTGGAGTGGGCTGCACTGCGCTCTCTGTGGAGAGCAGGCCTCGCCTGCGGTGAGAGCAGGCAGCTGGTGGCCGCGTGCGACAGCACAGGTCGTCCTGAGGTGTGGAGCGTGGCCGCAGGAATGGCTCCGAGTGCCGCCATGGAGCAGCCCTGAGTGGCAGCTGCCCCACGGCTGGGACTAGAGTTGCGAGGGGGTGCTGTGAGCCAGTTCAGGTGCTTTGGCTACATGTCCCAGACAGCCCGTGCAGTGACGTGACGCAGAGCTCCCGGCCTTACCTCACCACAGCACCACAGAACGTGACGTGTTCCCTGGCACAAGGAGCCTTCCGGGGGGACCTGTGTCTTGAGCACCCAGAGCGTCCCTGCACATGGTCTGCCCGACCCTGCGACGGGACGTGCTAGGGAGCAGGGGCACATCAGCTGGCACGAGCTGAGGGCCTGGGGTGGCCCCTGCGCTTCTGCCCTCCCGGTGGTTCCAAGAGGCTGCAGCAGCTCCCAGCATCGCGGCAGAAGGTGGAAGGTGTGTTCTCTCCTCGTGCTGCTGCTGCTTTTAGTCGAAGAAGGAGGAGGTGACCCCCGGAGCTCCCAACAGACCTGCACTTCCTTCTCGTGGGCCGTGTGGGTCACATTCCCCCCACCCCGGCCGTCACCAGGCGACTGTCTTACACTCCGCAC